GAAAAGTGGTGCAGTTCGTGTACAGATGGGTGGTGACCATACGACATCCAGTGTTCGACGACGTCGTCTCTATGTCATTTCTCGAGGTGTTATTAAAGGACGATAATATCGGACTTGTAGAAAAACCTGAAAATACGAGCGTTTTTTTTTTCTTTATTTGCATTTAGGAGTTGGCCAGTGACGTAGAAGCCGATTGTCAATTGTTGGGTGGTAAAAGTCAAGCTTTGCAAGAAGAAGCCAGTCTAATGCACCATATAATGTCCCGGTTGAGAAGATACCAGGACGAACGGCTGGAGACTTCGGGTCTGAAGTGGAAATTACCACCGGGCGGCCAACCGATTTGCCTGTTTACCGCGATGAACAGCACATCGAAAAATAGCAGTAGATCGATTATTCGGCCGATGGACGACAGTGAGCGCGCATCATCATCATTATTATGCTTACCTATTATATAAATCGAATCGATGAAAAAAATAAAAAGTGAAAACCGGAAATCGAAAAGTCACTCTCGTTTAGAAAAAAATATATACTATTTTACAATACTAAGGAATTTAAAACAAATATAAGCGTTACGCGCTTTATTCGCGATAATTTGATCGTGATTTCGAAAAAAAAAAAATAATAATAATAATAATACTCATATTACATTTTGGTTAAATTGACACGTGATACGTAATACCGTTATGTTTCAGTAATATTTCGGGTGTACTGCGCCGATCATACATTTTGCACTTTACGACTGCCCGTTAACGCCACGGCGGAAGCGATCAAGGTGGGAGCTTACGAAAAATGCAGCCTCCGACATCCCGTATCGGATCTGAGGATAGTGGAAGTGAAGTCCAATGGTGAACGGGTACCGTTCAGGGACAGTGAACACTCGATACCCACCACCGTGGCGCTCAACAGCTGCATATTTTTAACGCCAAAAGATCATATGGATGCATTGGTAATTATTATTATAGTTTTATCCGATTATCCTAAAAACCGGTTATTATTATTAATATTATTAACTCAGTCGACCATAGCTCTGTGTTCTAATCTAACAAAATTAATTTCCCTTTTTTTTTTTTTTTTTTTTTTTTATTAATAAATACATTAATATTTTATATTTGTCTATAGATTAATTCGGATTTTTCATATTTTATCTTCATTTTGATAAATGTTCATGAATTGTCTTTTATTTGTATCTAAATAATTATTTGGTTATCTAATCCGAACACTGAATTAATAATGTGTGTCGACTCTAATGTTATTATTCTGTAGACGTGCGTGCCCGAGCAAGAGAAATCGGAAGGAGCCGAGATATCTGGAGATTTTGAATCATTGAGCACCAAAGAACTGGCATATCATATGACGCTTTTCGATTGGGAATTGTTTTGGAACGTTCACGAAGTATCTAGAAAATAACGACGATATATTCATAATTATGGCGATGATAAAAACTAATCGATTATTTTATTTTAGTACGAATTGATATACTTGACTTTTGGCAGACATCGATTCCAACAGATCACGGCCAACTTGGACATATTTCTCAGGCGGTTCAACGAAATACAATATTGGGTCATCACCGAGATATGTATGTCTCAGAACATTTCGAAAAGAACTAATATACTGAAAAAAATGATTAAATTGGCTACCTAGTGAGTGAAATGATTATTTCATTAATTAACGGAAAATAAACAATAGCGGTATGATACTTGATATAATACAGACGGTTTCAAATTTCTAAGCATACGAGTTTAATATTAATAATATTAATCGGGCTGAAAGCAAACACGAAATACCGTACAACAAACTGGTAGCGCTATCTACTGGTCTGAATATATAATATGTAACGTATCTTATTGAAATTTGTTTAAATTCTGAATGTAGCGAAGAAGCTAATAGTTTTATTAAGATTTGTATACTTTCTCGAAATAAAAACGTATTCGGCAAATTAAATTCTCTATGATTTTGTTTGGTGTGTTTAGTCTGTTTTTTAAACAGATCTTTTAAACTGATCTTTTAGATCCGAATTTTTGGCTCGGTGGTACATTACTTAAAACTCTAGACATTTTTTTCAGTATGTAAAAAAATACTCCAAATTATTCGAATTTTACTCTAAAAACGCGGATGAATTGACAAAAAAGTTTAAATTTGTATAATTATAATTCGATCGGTGTGCGTAACAATTTTATGTACTAAGTGCTATTTCAGTTAATATTTGAGGGGCCGATCATAGGCATCCCAATAAACAAATACGTCTTTGAAGTCACGCGTCGGATCATAATACTTCACAATACATTATAAATATATTATAATAAAATATACTGTATGGTATTTGTGCCTACTCACCAACTTTGGTTTCAGCTGCAAAGAGTATTACAACTTCAATGCTTTCTTCGCTATTCTGATGGGGTTGAGTGACGTGGCCGTCAGTCGACTATCAACCACGTGGGATAAATTGCCGTCTAAATCGCGGAAACAGTTTACCGAATACGAAACGCTCATTGACCCGAGTCGGAATCACAGGGCGTATCGGATAACGGTCGGAAAGTTGCCGTCTCCGATGATACCGTTCATGCCTTTACTCATCAAAGGTGATTATGCCTTATTTACCGTTTAGAAAATGTTGTGAAATATTTAAATGCAAAGATAGGTGATGCTCACAATTTTAAAAATATTCCTGGACATCTTTTTAGTATTTCACTAGGGATATAATTATTTGGACAAGGCCAAATTAAATCCACCAGATTATTTAAAATATATCCTGTTTATTTTGCGGAACTCAAATATATTTCTCTTGCAACAAAATGTATAATAAGCTCTCCTAGGATAATGAGAACGGATACAACCACTGTTATAAGTAATTTAATCTGTAAGCAGCGATTAACTGTTACTAACGAAAAAACAATTCTGAGTGGAGTTCGGTTGATAGAGTTGCTTTGTCATGTTATGGTAAAATAATAACGTATGCGTTATATATATTTTTTTCCCGGTTTTTCCCATATATAGGCAAAACTCTTAGGAAAATCAAAAAATGGCCTCCCTTAAATATCTTTCCAGTCAGATTTCCTTTTAGAAAAAGTATTATCAATGTAAATCTGAGCAAAATTTCTGGTAGAAAAGTTGTCCGCGGAAAAAAAAACATTGTAAGACCTATATAAACCAATACATTATTCGCTCCACTCAAAATCTAAAAGTTAACTTCAATATAAATTTTTTTCTCAATTAATTCACATCACAACAATATTAATAGCCATAATAAAAATTGATCGCCCATAATATCTCAGACAGCCGGACACCGATAGAGGTTGCCACTGGCAATGTTACGATTGTATTTTGCATTTTACATTGTATCGACGCATTAATAACATTTGAAATGAGCCCAAAAAAAAAAATAATAAAATAAGGCTGCCAAATCCCTCAAATGACGCCCCTGCTTTGATTTATCACACTCAGTTCTGGCGTTTACCTGTGTTTAACGCTTCCGTTGAATTTACATTAAAATTATTGCAACTATAGAAAATTATGACAATCGCCTAGCTTTTACAGCTCTATGTATTTGTTTTTCAGACATGAAATTCACTCATGACGGTAACAAAACGCACGTGGACGGTTTGGTAAACTTTGAAAAAATGCACATGTTAGCACAGACTATGAGAACGCTGAGATACTGTCGGATCAGGCACTTAGGTGAGTGTCATATCATATTTGTTAAGTTTTTTTTCGGTGATTTATCTTTTAACACGATAAAAATATCCACGGAAATAATATTCGAGTAAAAAAAAGTCCAATCGTTTATTTGTTGAATTTTCCCCGATATTGAAACTATTGAACTATTGAACTGTATATAATATTTATTAATTTTTCCCGGCACATTTAGATACTTTAAGTGGGCCCACTAGACGAAATTAAATCATATTCGAGAACTAAAGTTATTTTTTTTTTTAGGTTCCTTATCATTTTTAGAAATTTAAGAGATAATTTTAATATCTAAAAGAGGAATATGAAACTATGAAATGGAGATGTGAAGGGAAGTAAACGTGGTCAATGAGAATATATTAGTGACTGAAAATCATAAATAAATAGAAATTCGTTTTAAATAAATATCTATGTACAATAAAATATTATTAACGCCTATGAAAAACTCTGCCAACCACTCTGCTAACTATTTTTGATAAATTGAAAAAAAAATTAAATTAAATATTTTGTTCCGGCACAAGTAGGCTGGGGGGAAAATTAGTTTGTTGCTCACGGGTGTTTTTTTTATCACAATGGATCCTGTTAAAGTGGTTCTAAATCAACTATGGAAACTTTATATATGACTTCAGGTACAATAATTTCGTTTAATTAAATTAGGTTATCAAGTGAGAGTACCTATTTGGATTTGTTTAGTAAGGAACGAAATTTTTTGGGAAAAATTGTTGAAGTGGATATTTTTACCTATCGGACATTTTTTTTTACTCTGTCGTTATTTTTCCTCGGGCCATTTTTCACCCGAATACGGTTTCCGTTGTTGTTCCAGTGTTGGACCCGCCGGTATCGAAAAACGAGGCGGACGTCAAGTCATACGTGAGTTGCCTGCGGTGCATAAACAACGAACGGACGTTGATGAGTATGTCGCAAAAACTCGAACCCAGGAGAACTTAGTTCCGGACTTTGCGGCAGCGTCGCAAGTATTCCCGTTCGCGTGATGGATTATTTGGTTTCACGTCATTGTATTTGTCTGGTGTACCCACCAGTATAATATAATACTTAAATTCATTAGGTTATTATTTTTTGTTTGTGTAAACGAAAAAACGCATCTCGAATCAACCGAAAACGATAATATTATACATAAAAAAATATCGGTGTGTTTTGTTTTTTTTTTTTTTTTTCGAGTACTGTTTGTGATCCATAGATACGTCGTGGTTTTTTTTTTTTTTTTTGTATATATACAGGGTAGAGATACGCGTCACAGTATTATTATAATAATTTCTATTTTTCTCTTGGTTTTAATTTTTTTTGTTTTTTCACTTAACGTTACAGACAATCAGAGAACGATGATAATCAATACAATGAAAGATGATATATAAAAATAAAATAAAAAAACAAAAAAAAAAAAAAATTTAAAAAGAAAACAATAATATGGATGTGAGATAATTTACAACGTTATATTATTATTATTACACGATACGAGTAGGTTTTAAGTTTTATCGGTATGATAATATTATTGCGAGGAATAATAATTTTCGTTCCGCTTAGTTTATATTATTCGTATTATTATTATTATTATTGTTGTAATAACGCGCGTCACGGAAACACCATAGGTTCTTAGAGCTTGATATTATATAGTCATAATATTATTGTATAAATTAAATGTTAATCTAGCCGTACGAAGAGTGTGACGAAAATATTCAGTATATTCGGATATTGCTCTAGTTGTCGGAAAATTGATAAGGGGGTAACGGAGCGCTCTCGGGCGTGTACCGACCGGGATAAATTCATCGGAAGTGTTTTGTTTTATGCAATCCGGGGTGTTTTAAGTAGTCCGTTGTAATATCGATTCCTTATTTTCGGCGTCTTTCAGCGTTATTACAGGGAAGATATCTGATATGAAAGGAAAAACGGGTTTTGTTAAAGAATTTTCGTTTTGCTCTTTCGGTTACACGTAATAGTCGACTATACGACATTTATTATTATTTTTTTTTTTTTTTGTAGGAAAATGATGCACCATCATTTTCTCCCCAGAACATCAAATACAGATCGACGCCACTTTAGGATGCCACGTACAATATTCCATTGTCGCCTCTCAAAACATCATTAATACCACGATTATTACGTTCTTGTGGGTTATCGACCACCCCGCTACTTTTCTACTCCGGACAAACTATGATTGAAATCTCCCCTCCTCTTTTAATTTTACCCTACGTGGTTTTTCAGCCACTTAAGCATTTATAGCTGTTAGGAATACGTTTAGGTCGCTAACTTGCTTGAAGCTGCAGTCGTGGATTTTGACGTGGCAAATTTTTTTGTTCGCCAAATAATTTAAGGGTTATGTACAATAACCAGACAGCACTTAAAATGGCGATAGAGAATCTGATAGAGCAAATTATTCTCGTATTTTCTGAGAGAAATCCAAATGAAAGTTATAACGTGAATATACAAAACGTTAAAAAAAAACAAGACTACACCAAAAATTAAATGTTATAAATATCTCTCGTTTTGAAAAAAAAAAAAACCCCGGTAAAACTAGTAAAACCTGGAGTAAAACCAAACATTGTTTTTATCCCCTGGTCTAATGCACCTAAATTCATTTTGAAAATCGATATAATTATAAATACGATAATTTTGTTTCGAAATATTTCCCCCCCCCCCCGTTTGTCATTCCCGTAAAGGTTCAAAAAACGGAGTTGTCTGGGGTCCGGCAAGAGCACGAAGCCTTCCGGTATTGTTCCTCGTATCATCATTTTTCTGACAACTAGGTAGTGGTTGTAATATTATAGATACGAATTACCGCCGTTTCGGCATCGTTGTAAAACTGGATATTGTTTTCCGCGCTCGACATAACTGTGCAATTTATTATTATTGTTGTACAACGCGTCACACGATATTATGATGATAGTCGCAATATTATTCTACATTACAAATTTTATAATCGTCGGCTAAAAATAATAAAAATATACATATTATATTATATATGCGTACCTATACACGTCTTATGTTCTTATAGTATCATAATTGATCTAGTCTGTATAATCGTATTAAAAATTTAAATATTTTATGTAGTACACATTTATCGACCACACTTTTTATTATACGCCATTTATTTTTCGTTGTTTTTATGATATTAATCGCGGGTCCGTTTTTCCTATTTTCGTAAACGCGCCTTGCACTCGCGTTACCCAAACCCAAAAAATATTATATATTGTACAGGGACTGCCCGGACGGAATATGCGTTTTGAGAACAAAGCAGTCTATCCTCAGTTTTGCAATGTACTATCCATTTAGTTTGACCTGAAGAGTAAAACCTACAGTATTATGTTATCCGCAGAGACGCATTAATGTAATAAGGTAATTTCTTGCCTCCCTCTCGAGAAAAAAATTAAAATAATAAAAAAAATAGTTTTGTACGACTTAATATTACGAGCTCATTTTCATTCTTCTCGTCTTCATCTCCTTCGGACAACAGATTTAGGCGGCCGTGTTTTGCTTCGTCACGGTTTTTTCTGCTCTTTCGCATTATTTTATTATAATACGACATTTTCACTATACACATTATATTTTAACTCTTACTGGTTTTTCCTCCAGTATTATTATTATTATTATTATTATTATTATTATTATTATTATTATTATTATTATATTCTTCTCAACTACCACTTTCATTGTACTCATTTTTTTTTTTTTTCTATATTTTTAAATACATCGTTTTATTTATGTATTACTATATTAACTATTATTATGTGTGTTACATTTTTATTTCTTTTTAATTTTAGAAATTACATTATGGAAAAAATTGTTTATAATTTATTTTATTATTTGTGTTAAACAATACGTATGTGTTCTAAATAAATACCATTTTAACAACAAAAAGAAAATAATAATAACATGCTAGTAAATAACGCACTGGTGACCGTTCCATACAACACGAATACGTTTATAGGTACCCACGTCATATAATATTGCCAATGATGAAATGCATAATGTATGTAAAAAAAAATTTTAATTCTAAACCTTCGCCTATGAAAAAAAATGTCACAAACACTAATGTGATATCGGGTGAATTAACCCGTAACATTTTAAGGTGAACGAATAAAAATTAATAACGAAGAACGCTCAAGTTTATTTTTTTTATCACCAATTTAATGAATTACATTTCATGATTAAACCTTGTGTCGAATTTTTGAGCATTTATGTACAGAACTAAAACATTTAATAGGTACAAATCGAATACAGTAACATGCATTTTGCGAAAAATCGAAAATATTTTATAGGACCCGTACTCAAGATCGGTACCGTAACCATGGAGGAGGGGAGTATTAGAAGCACGTCCCTTTAGTGTTGTAAAAAATATTATTCAATCATTTTGATTTTGAAATATTCGCGAATTATAGAAAAAAAAAAATCTGATTCGCCAATCAAGTTACCCAAGAAGCAGCTGTACTAACTGTATTTTTTAAAAATACATATTCCAATTAGGCCACATAGATCAACAAATAGAGGGAAAATGTTACATACAAAAAAAAAAAAAACTACAAAAATTAATTTAAGCCCGTCTTTTCTGGGATCAACAATACATGATGGGGTACATTTTTACCATGCTAAGCGGACAAAAACTTCACATACGCTAATTCACGAAAGCCCGGTGTTTGCTTCTAAATTAGTCCATGGTCTTAATCGATTTGTCTAGAGTCTGGACATTTCCAACAGTCGGGCAACTTCAAATCCAGCTTCAAAGTAAACCTTTTCGGTTCTGGTCCAACTTCTGAAATTTACATTAAACACATTCCCAGTTGGGCGACGGTTGCGCACCAAGTTTTCATCCGCGAGAATAATGGTGCCACGGGACGTTCTTCGTTAAATTATTTGAAGGTCTTTTCACATTATGAAATTCTCTTGATTTATGCCTAATCTTCGGATCTTCTTGGTCACAACATGTTCAACTTTTGACATACAAGAAAAGTAGTATGGGTGTTATTTCGTCCTACTGGTATGCTCCCTGTAACAGTACGAGTATACACAACTGCGATCGGTACGCTGTGTCCTACTGACCGTGGGATCGATTTCACTCGGCTTACCAGGAGTTTTATCTATACGAGTGATAAAACAGCCTGTGGCAACAGGATGACAATCGAATCCTCAAATCTGGCGAATTCCAAAGAGCAAATAGCTTTACATCCGTGTTCGCCGTTCATATATCGATGTGGTCATGCTAGTCATACAGAAACAGATCGAACCTCTTTAGATTATGACTAGCTCTAAAAGCTAATATAAGTCCATGGTTATAGTATTATAGGCAAAAGCCATTTAAACACAAAGTTTCAACTGTACGCCCACTAGAATAAATTATTAATTGTTTATAGATACCTAAATGGACTTAAAAATTTTATCTACAAATGCTACTCATTGAACTTTCATGTATGATTGAAAGAAACTGTAGGTTGATATTTACTTAAAAAATTATCTGTCTCCGCTATTCAGCGAGGTACCATTGATTCCCCTCTAAATTAAATACCTAGATTCACTCGAGGGATAGGTGGACTGACCATAAAAAGATATATTTTTTTTATTTATATTAGTTAGACCAAAAATAAATTACAACACATACACAAGTAAAACATTTTGATTAATTTACCCCAGAAAGCATAGCTTGGGGGGGGGGCAAATGAGTCACAAAATCATAGACAAAATATATTAATAAAATAACGTAAACAAAAGTACTTTCAACAGGTACAATAATATTACATTTTACATGTTGGTATGTATTACATTTTTTTAATTCCATACATTACAAATAGCTAAATTTAACATAAACTTTACACAAAAGTTATTTTTACTATTTTACGAGCGCTATCTTAGCGGAATGGATAGAACTAGTGTGTAACTAGTTTCAAAATTATCCACTAGAGCTCATAAAGGAAATAAAGTTTTATGCCCAAAATGGCTATACTCTATATCTTTTTCTATCCACGATTTCATTGCTCGTTTCCAGTATTGTATATTACGTATATTATTTTTAGTCCGTGGCTAAGAGGATCTTATCTTGTCGATCGCGTTTTGTATAACACGTAATACAAAATAAAATAAAACCGAAAGCGAACATAATCCGAGTATATTATGGCTGTGTAAATACATATGAAGTGTATCGGAAAATCTCGTCACCTTGTACCGTTCACGATTTGCCCGAGTTGTGATATCATAAAACACCTGTCAGTAATGACCTCCGATCGAATTATGACCTACTCGTGTGGTATAAGGGTACGTAATAGAAACGATATAGCACACAAATACAATACAGTAAACCTACAAGAATCACGATACGAAAAAAAATCGACATAAAAACAATTATTCTAGAATTTTACCACCTACCTGGTTATATGGTTTTAAATATTATAATAATACGCTTTGAACGTGAACATTTTTCTTGTTTTTTTTTTTTTATGAAAAAATATTTAAAAATATTCGTCGTATAAAAATAACACGCCAGACAACGCGCGGAAAACGAAAAAAAAATACCCTTATATTTTTTATCATTATGGCCCAATCTCGTTACATCATCACAATGCTGTCATAATAATATTCCAAACAAACACACACCGTGTATTTACATATTGTTATTATTATATATCTCTTCAAATAACGCATGTTTGCGCCATGAAAAAACAGTAAAACTCGTTTTACTTTTTACGTTTGCCGTGATGTGCACGAGTCTCCACTACGTACAGACAGATAGTCTGAAAACTGTGAACGATATTATAACGGTGAGTAAACAATTCCATACGATTATTATTATTGAAAAAACGTAAATCCCAATTTGTTTTTTTTTTTAAATACCTCCGAGAAAATTTTCGGTTCGTTTCGGATAGCTCACTCTGTATAAGTGGCTCGGTGGCTGCCCCGCACCGGGAAATGTTCGTTTGTTGTGCAAGAAGACAAATTTCAAATCATCTTTATGGCGATCTTTACGATAACAGTCGTTGTGCCACGTCTAAACCGTCCCACGTCGTGATTGTATCCACTCCTCCGCCTTTCGTCACGCGAGCACACACACGTAAATATTTTAATATGATGATAATAATATTAATTTTATCGTAATCACAGCTGCCGTGTCGGACGTGGCGGAAATCGAAACGAAACAACCGCGTCAATGTAGATATTCGAATATTTCCATGTCGGGATACCGGATATCCATCGACTACGGACCCGACCGGCCGTCGAACACTCTTATTCTCATCACGACATTATAAGATCGGCATTATCGGCTTGTAACGATCGCCGCGCAGCCACTGCCGTCGAATCAGACGGATCGTATTGGTACTCGTAACCTGTAATGTAACACATATCCTGTGGTGCGTGTAGGTATACCAGACACGAACGTTCATTTCGCGTCCGTTCGATCAGACGACCGCGGTGTGAAATTCGAGCATAACAATTATTGAGAAACGATTGAAAGTTGAAACACGCGAAAGACACATTCTTGATATTTGCCACCGTGCGTATACAAAACCTAAATCCCATCCCTTCCCGTGACTACGAATATGAATCACCAACAATCTTTCGTAATACAGTAACCGCGAATGTCCGTTCCGTGCATTTAAAGGCATTCCAAATGATATCCACTCGGACGATAAAAACGTAGGTAATTGAATCAATACAAATTCTGCACATCAATTTATAGTTCCGCGTATCTCCGGGCTTTATAATAGTGTATTTACTACGTGTATAGATATTGCAAGCTCTCGTTATCGTTTTCATTATTTATTTAATTTCTGTAATATTTATTTTATTTTGTTTACATAAGGTGTTTATCAATATTTGTGCCGTGTTAAATTTTTTCCTAAAATCTATTTTGTATCTAATAATTATTACATTTTATTGCTCTAACTCATAATAAATATGAATATTTGTACATACTATACAAAATTGCATAACTCTGGATTCATTTGGGAGGTCTGTAAGTGGGAGAGACGAAATTAAAAAACGTCCTACTTTCACGACAATATGATGAAATTCATATTGAAATTCAACCGATATTTTATTATTTCAATCCGCCTATACAACAATTTCAATTCCTGAGTTTGAGCACATTTGACCCAGGAGGAGCAAAAAATTGTTATATATCGTTGTCCAAAAGATACATCATCTGCTATTTGATGTTTTTGGCCAAATTGAGTCGATTACGGTGTTTGACATTTTGATAGAAATCATCAATTTATTATAATCATCGAGAAAACCGGTGACATTTATTCAAATCGTAAACAATTAGTCGCTTAAATATTCTGTCTACTTTGGCTATAATATCTTGGTGTTTTTCAGTTGTACGCCGCGCCGTACAATAGCCGATGGAAATATTAAGTCATTTTTTAATAAATAGTTTGTTTAATCGTTTGAATTTTTAATAAACCTGAATTTAGTAATTGCGATTTCGAATAAAACTAGCTTTTATAAATCTCCTGAAAAAATGAGAAAAATGAGGTATTGATTGTAGCTAATTAAGTCAAAACAAGCTAAGTAATCATTGGTTTATAGGATAGTTAGCTTGCCTTGGCTATTATTTGATTAGGGAATTATTTAGTGTGAGACGAAACTATAAGGGTAGATTTGCCCTAAATTCACCGGAGATAACCAAATGGGTTTATTTTTAAATATAATAACAAGACGATATTTTTTTACAAAAATCGATAATTTGTTTACGAGCAGAAGAAAAAAATGCAAAAAAATCCTTTTTATAAATAAGTGAGTTACCTAAATGAATTCGGTTGCCCCCGATAAAAATAATAACATCATTACACAGCATATTTTAAATTATGAATGGAGTGAAGGTGCTTATGGTTTTAAAATAGTTTTTATTTTT